ATATTCAGGTACATGAAATTTCCCTGTTAGGCAATAATGAATCAATTATGCATTCACATATGATAATACAGGGTAGGTTTTAGAAAAGACCTGTGATTAAAAAAGCAAGCCTGTGAAACATTTTTCCTGCCATTCCAAAATAGAAACAGCAATTGCAGATTCACATCTGGAATGTGAGTAAATTAGTTTGAGAGAAAAATACGACTTTTAGTCAGTTAAACTACAGATGTTCATAGCACACTCATACTGCAAAATGCGGCACAGCCATTGACAGTGGCAATGTTTTTAATAATTGGAAAGAATTATGTCACAGAAGTAGAGTGCGAATTGGAATGTATTATGAAAAATAAACTCATTTCTCTCTACCATACTTGTTTGAGCACTGCAGATACCTTTGTAGTGCAACGTGATGGGATTTTAACTCTTAGGGGAGTTCAGATGTAGCACGTAAATGATATGGAGAGTGAGAGACAGAAAGAGAGTGAGAGGGGGAATATTTCACCAAAACGTGAAGTTAGAAACGTTAATCCCGTATTGAGGTGTCAAAGTTTTTATCCTATTAATAGAAACACCGCAATGTAAATAAGGTGACGAGGGAACAGACTTCTCTCCAGGTCGCAGTAGCCCTGTAATTTGAAAAAGGGTATTAAAGTAATTTAATGAAATTAAGCACAGTGGACAATCGATGTAAAATTGGAGAATATATCACTATATATCAATAGACCAGAGAAAGTACAAAATGAATGGGAAACCTGCTAGAATACCTGTATTTCTCTAAAAATCACGAAACAGGACACAAGTATTTTTTCAACATTTCATCATACTTCAAAAACAATACAGAGAAAATTTTATTATTCCATCTTTTTCCTGAACATTAGATCTTGCTTTTTTTATATGATGCAGATAAAAGCTATTTGGCAAATGTAGGTGAAAAAGCACGCAAAACAAACAACCTATTAATGCTCAGAATTATATATGTATTCCCTAAAAACGTAAAGCATTTTTGCTTATTTATTATGTAAAACAAAACTGTTAAAATGTTAATAAAATCCTGTAGCCAAAGGAAAAGTGAGTTGGATTTCTTTTTTACTACAAAACACAGGGTTTTACAAAGAATAACGTTGCATATTTGAAAATTTATTTCAATTGTAATACGTACTATATTTGACAGTTAATGTACTATAAAATACAAGGATTTTTTTTTAATTTATTGTATTTTAGCTGCACTGCATTTTAAAGGAAGACTCTTGGAGAACTGAAAACAACACAGAATGACTAACGAAACGCGCTAATGCAAGGTACTGAAACACGACATCAGTTGACAATTCTTCCCTGCAGGTCTTTTTTCTCAGCTGTGCGTTACCTGACGGCAGCCTGCGGCAGCCATCATTTTTGACCTCTGTTCTTTTCTCAGCCCAGGCGTAATTTCTTTGGTGTCTGATCAGTGCGGTGCACCACTGCAGTAACTTAGGCGTGCAAATGCTTTTATCAATCCAGTTACCCCCAGGAATCAGCTCTGCGGCACAAACCTTTTTCATGACAGACATTAAGCTGTACGTCAGTTTTTTTTATATAGCTAATGTATATTCCAAAGTAGTTGCAGAGAGTAATTTTTTAGACTGCTGATGTCTTGTAGCTGAATCAGAAAAAGCAAAGAAATTTAAAAAATCTTTGTACAATGAAGCAGCAGCATAAAGAATTAAATGCTTTAATATTATTTCTAGGTAATAGCCCTTGAAGTATATGATATTTGTTGGATATATTTTTAAAAAATGCTCTGAAGTCTTATAAAACCTTTTACTAGACGTGAGATGTACTGCTTGAACTCTTAAATGTTAAGTACATTACTACTTTTTCAAATCTTTGGAAACAGCATTGGTGCTGACTGGACACAACCCACTTACATGTGCCAACATACCCAGCTTGCTCGGCAGGAGTTTTCCTATCAATAAACAATCTCTACAAATATTTTCACAATGTGTAATGAGAAATGTTATAACAGAATCCAGGAGGAAAAAAATGAAGTCACAGAAATATGGACACCATAACAAATGTTTTTTTGAAAGCACTTCATCAAGAAAATAGTTTAAGATATGACATCAGCCTCACAACGGAAAAGGTGTTTTACTAATCTAGACAGTTGAATGAAATTAAACATTTTCAGTGCATTACTTCTGGATCTGGAGTTGTCTGATTCTCTCCACACCTACATCCAAAGACACTCTGCACCACATTCGTCTGTCCTGTGTAAAGAACACTTATAACAATGATTTTCACAGAAAAATGTTGCGGCTTTCTGGGTGTGCCAGGCTCGGCATGAAAAGAGTAAGCCCACTGGCTGCGCTCCCCATCTACCTTAAGGTGAGTCTGCCAGGGGAAGGTGCGCCGGCTTTCTCCGCAGGAACAGCTGCTGTCAGAAGGACCTTATGCAGCTGCTCGCGACACAATGGGAATTTTCTTTGTGAAGTTCTTTGGTTCTCCTGAAGGAAAGGTCAGGCTTGTAACAAACGCTTCATCCAACTCAAGGTTGTTTCCTCAAGACGACAGGTAGTTTTATACACGCAGAATAGGTCACTGAAACGTAGAGGCAAAGGGGCACATTCCCACAGCACCCGCCTGTGCTCCGACACATCCACACTTGGTTAGTTCTCACTTGCAGAAAGGAAGTTTAACACTTAACACAAAGGAAGTTTCATTCCAATGCAAAAACTTTTGGAATAATCTTACAACTCGAAGTGAGACTAGAACAAGCTTTTCAATAAGAAGGCCGTGAAGAAATCCAAAAGGAACAATGGCAACCAGGAAATATTGCAGCATTTTACTATTAAAAATCCCACCTCCTGCTGCTCAGACACTGTGGTAGCATAGCTGAGTGAGGGTTTACAGGTCCCTTCTGCCCTTCTTCCTCCAGGAACATGTTTTATCATTTTCCCCCATCATTCTTTTACAGTATTCATCCCTAGCGAAGGGAGAGTGTGTTTTAAGGAAGCCATTTAAGTCAAAACCTGATGCATGACCTGGTGGTTAAAAGAAATCTCTACAGGCACTCATCAGAATATATGGAATATGAGCAAAATCAAAGGTGCTTCCTATAGGCACACCCTACAGTACCAAAACAGAGAGAGTGTTTTAGCTGCAAATATCAGATTGAGGTACAGATCTAAAATTTTGTAAAACTCTGTGGTTGGAAAAACAGTACCAGAGCTATGCTTTCCACAGCTGATCTGCAGCAGCATGCCTTGCTCAGAAGCTGCTTGAAGGAAGAAGTAGAAAAGAAGGGAAGATACACAAGGAAGATGTAGGTGTGCTTAATGCACTCACTTGTTTTTTATATGTGTATATATAAATGGGCTCTTCTTTTTATTTGAACTTTATTAACTCAGACTCAGGTTTCACTTGATTATAATATGCATCAATATTTGATTCTGAAATAAAGGTAGCTGCCAAAAATTAACAACCCAAAGCAGTTCTGAAAGCATCTGGTGGGAAAAAGCAAAAACTGGTGTTCATGTGTATCATTTTTACTATGAAAATTAACAGCTGTCTACACTCCACTGTACAGTTCTATGAAATATTGGTGTGCAGTCTCATATGAGACGGATCATGGGGGAAAACAAACCAGCAGGGTACGGACAGCCAGGCACACGGACAAATCTACTGTGATATGGAGCATAAAATCCTAAATGTAACAGGGACAACTTAACTTCTAGCACTTGCTGCCAAACCACCTAAACCCTAATATGTGAGGATTACTCTAAATTACCATTACAGACCAGCTTCCTTGTTTTAAGACTTCTTGGCTTTGTAACTGAAACAATCTACTAACATGTTCAGATTGTTTATGAGGTGAACTTTAATCTAAAAAAACCATTTCTGGTCAGTATACAGAAGTCCTTTGTGGAAACCAATTTGGCTGATCCACCTTCAGTAGGGACAAGGTAACGTAATAAGCAGAGCTGCCTACTTGAGGCCATGAAGCTGGCCACATCACACCTATGACAAACTTTTCAGTTGCAGAGAACTGTTTGAAGTGCTGTGGTGGCCAAACCTCCTGATGCAAATTCGCCTTACCCGGGAGAAAAACCCGACAAGCTGCCATCGCACGGAAGCTCCCACATGCCTACTTCGCGATGCTTTCCCGTCACGACCAAGCTATTACACCTAACCCGGAACTGTGCAGCCAGCCCCCAGAGCAAGCTATTTTCAGGTCAGCAGATGTTAAACCTCTTGCTTTTAATGGTTAGTGGCAAAACCAGAAGCCCTGCTTTGGGAAAGGGGGTGACAACAGAAACAATGGAAGAGAATTTGGACACAGGTTAACTGCATGTTTGCTCTTTTTCACTGTCGTAGTTGTTTATCATAGGGATTTTAAGAGCTGGGCATTTTTCTCTCATATATTCGCTTAACTTCCTTACTATTACAATAGAATTATTATGAAATTGTAAACTATTTAGACTTCCCTCCCCTGACATCGGATCCTACAATAGCCTGGATAAGAAGATTGCAACTAGGTGATATGCTCCTCCAGTGGGCTATTCTTACAGGGGCTAAAGTCTCTTGGAAGACTATGATTCAAAGGAGATATGAGATGACTTACTCAGATCCAATTGACTAAGAAAAGCAGGATACAAATAATTTGGATAACCAACCACAGCTCTTAAATGCTGATGGAAAACTCTCCAAAACCTCAAGGCAGGCACGAGAGTTGCAGACCTGCGACCAAAGCACAGGATGGTAAACTGTTGTACAGGCCCACGTGGAGAAGAACCAAATCAGCAAGGGTCTACACTTAGACCTGAATTTAAACTTAGTAGTAATCCCAGTAATTCAGAAAAATATGATGAGCTCTTCCAGCTGTTTCCACTGCAGACAACGCATAAACCAGAATTCAGTTTAAAAAAACATAGTAAAAATGTCAGTATTGTACTGGATTGTGCTGAAGCACAATAAAAACACAGACACACAAAAAGGAAATATTTAGCCACTTCAGTTTTCAAATACAGTGTGCAATTGAAGAGGAAGTTCTGTTCATTGCAAGGTATTCCTTTGCAATCAGGCTCCTTTTAAAGAATAGATGCTTACAAAGAATGGCAACATAGATGTGTTTTAAAGTTAATACGGAAGAATAAAGGCCTTCAGCAATGAGATAATTACCTCTTCTTAACTGTTGAAGTTATCCACGTCAAAGAACAAAGATACCAGAAAATCAGAAGAAAAAAAGATCAAGCTATCAACTACCCTTCCCACCTTTAAGCAAGATGAGCTGCTTGGTGCCAAATACTAAAGAGCCTCCCTTTGCACTGTGAGCTCTGAGGACTACTAATGCTTTGGGACTATGAGGTTTCTCAGCATGTCAAAAGAGTTGCCGTCTGGGTGCACAGACTCCACACCCTTGCCTTCTTCATGAACTTGAAGGAATCCATAATCATCTATCCCGACTATCCATGCAATCGGGCCCTCCTCACTGTGGAGACGGACTTGCTTACCACTGCAAATAAAGAGAACCAGACAGTTAGGAATTAATTGGTGGACACTGTGCAAACAATTAAAAATAGCTTAGAGAACTAATGTCTAGCTGAATATTTTTCTTCCCCACTTCACTGGTTCTTTACAGAGAATGATTTTCAGCAGCATTTTCTACCTGCTTTAATTTCTTTCTGTGGAATTAACAGAGTTGGAGTTAATCCAAACAGTTTTTTTTTTTTTTAAAAAAGACATGAGTACAGCAGCTTCATCACTAGCTAAACAAATCATTCCCAATTCCCTTTGTTTTGAGATGATACATATAAAACACTTAGAAGCATTCTTTAACTCATGCTAGTCCATCGATTTTACTATGTCCTATTTGTATTCTCCCTTAAAAAATTACATCCTAGTTGGGAGTATATTTTCATTAAGTCACTAGTTTTAAAGGCAATCTAGTAGAAAAAGTAGAAAAAGACAAAATATCCATGAGTTCTTTTCAACGTTCTTAAAAGAAAGTTTGAGAAGAACCTTATACTTACCTGTGTACCCAGTACTTGTAGTAATGGGGAAGAACTCCGTTGGGCCCTTTCTCCTGGAAAATATCTATAAGCCTCTCTAGCACAGTTACAGTTCTTGCAATAAGACAGTCTGCAGTTAAAGCCTTCAGCTTTGTCCCCTCTTCCTTATTAAATTTTGTGATGAGATCATTGATGCATATGGTGGGGTTGCTGTTATTCACATTAAATCCCAAGCCTGAAGAAAACAAACCAAAAGAGGACAGGATCTGTAAATACGAACACTTTGTAACCACCAGAAAGTCAGTACTTTATTCAACTACTCGATACAATTATCTCTAAGGATGTTTCCAAAAACTGTTTTTCTTCAGTCTCTTAGACCTTTAAATCTTCCTACTTGTATAATTACAAATCAGTCCAGATTTTACTTGTTTCTTGCCCTTAAAACGCCTCCTCAAAATTGTAGAAGCAAACCTAGTCCTTTCAACAACACACCATCCTATCAATGAGGGTTAGGAAAATGGTAAGTGGTGACTTGCACGTTGGTTACAAAGTGAGAAATTCTTTTACTCCCTGGAAGCTGACAGGTCATTAGCTAATTGAGAGCAAATCATTGATCATATTCTAAGATGGAGTTTCATCTTTCATTCTAAAATTTAATTAAGAGACCTTTCTGTTTACTACAGTTAGCTGATTCCATTTTCTGAAAATTAAGCCTTTTTACTCAGCTGATAAGCCTTGTTTGGCTTGCTCTGAAAAGCCCAGAAGATTTAACTTTGCCATGCAAGACTCCAGTTTGCTTAATCTGTCTTACCACAGCATATCCTTTAGAAGCCTCAAGCCTCTCACTGAGATTTCTCCAGCTAGAATAACATTGGCAGAACGCCTTTCTTATTTAAATATGGCTCTCGGGGCCCTTTTTGTAGCCTGCTGAAACAGGCTTCGAGGGACGTAAAGAAATATATTGTATTACCTGTTTATTTTTTTCTCCTAATAATTTGGATTTTTCTTTCCTCAGACATTTGGGATAAACCCCAGTCTGTCAATCAGGTTTAGACATGATACACCTTCATCTGCAAGAAGGTCCAGATGCACTGTTTTGTAAATTTGCTACTAATGAGACTATTCATGTATGGAAGTAATTCGTATTAACTATGAGGAGAAGGACCTCTTCAGTGGAAAGGAGTTTTTGGCTTTTAACTAGTCAGAGAATGCATGCAAAGAAAGCCACAATGATACCAGGACCAATACATCGATCCTCTGGAAATAAGGAGAAATGCATTATCAGAAAGAGACAAAGGAAAATGAACTGGAGAATACAATGTGCCAACAGATCCCAAATCAGCTGTTTACACTCAAATACAGTACAAGCAAAGAGAGAGTGACCGTGGCCATTGAGCTCTGACTGGTGCTGTCAGGGTGCATAACAGGGCCTTGGAGTCCATCTGCAGGCTCAGGGCACTCAGGCATGTATGTATGGAGATCACTACTTAGCAATCCAAAAATGGAAACGGACATGAGAGACATACTGAGATGACGAGCTCAGCTGAGGCAGAAGCATCTGGGGATAAATGCGGTGGCAAAAACGAAGCCAGCTAATTTGAAAAATATTAGGTGCTCAGGACTCTTAGGGCATCTCTGCATTGCCCATCCGAGAAGAGTGAAAAATAAACATTTACCACCAAGCTTGCAGTGTGCTGACATGGCTAATATATCTTCCAGTTCCAGGGCTAGCCCTGCCTTCAGCATCCGTGCACTGGTCAGACATGCCTTAGCTGCACACAGAGGCAGACAGAGCTTTTGCAGGTGAAGCACGTTGGCTGCCCCTTGCATTCCAGTTGTGTTTGGCTACCTACGTCTGTTCTGAATCTGGCCCTTACATTAATGAAGTATATTCTTCTGCAGAACTCTTCTTGCAAAAGTCCTGCAATAATTAAGTTCTTAAAAAAAAGGTTATTAAAAACATGTTTAAAAGTGTGAACATGAACTGTGTCATATGTGAGGCCTTGAGCACATGATACAGGTGAAAAGGCAGGTTTGTCTCTTGCCTTATTCTTCTGAGGTACTTCTCAGAGCACGTGAGCCATGTAGATGATCTTTGATTTTGATCATTTCCTGCATATATGAAATACTCTTCATGAGCATCATGTAAACAGTGAGGTCTAGGAAAGGAATCTCCATGACTGTAAAAGGGGACGATGCATCTGGCTTACCTGTCCTGTTGTAGAAATCTGATCTCATTGCTACTACTAATACAAGAAATTAGTTGTCATGAGTCACCCCTACTACTCTCAGTGACATACATCACTGAAATGATGGAAAAGATCGTTGGATCCTATGTGGCAAGTAACTTTCATTCTTGGAGGCTTCCAGACAAAAGTAAGTTGATGATCACGTACCGCCACCAAGATGACTCCCAGGGACATCAGGGGGAATGCATACAGAAAGTTTCCATTTGAATTTGAATGTTTTAGTGTTTAGGATAAGAAACACAAGGTCCAAAACTAATATGTAATGTGCAAAGAGATATTTGATAAGATAAACTATTTTTGGAGCCATTTTTGCTTTTCTTGTGTTAACCAGAACAGGCTCTGGAAAAACATATGGAAGCACTAAATGGTTGATGGGGCACAGAGAGACTCTCTTAAGTGTCTCAGTGCAACTACCATTCTGTACATGTAGATTATTTACAAAATGAGGATATAACAATTGAACAGAAAATTTAATGGCTGGGCATGTTTCACAGAAGGAGGTGATGACTACTACTTCAACTGCTTCGCTTGTTTGCGCCTTAGAATTTACAGCACCTTGACAGAAACGATATCATGCCCACACTCCCTTTGCAAGATACTTTACTTATCTACTGTGCTATATTCAAATATAAACCAAATATTATCATCATCTTTAACCTTTTAGACTTGCTAAGGAGCTTTCATTTAACTTTTTAGACATAGCACAGATAATTCGTTTTGGAACCAGAACCTAGATCTCTGCTGGCAGGTTTCTAAGCATGTCTGACAGATCTGTGCTGCTGCTGGTTAGGGGAAAAATTTTCCTTAACAAATAACAGGATGATTATCGGACTTAAAGCAAAAGAAACATCTCAATACTTATTTTGTGCACCTAAATTTCTTCTCCTGTTACAGCACCGGGACTTGCTGGAAAATACACGTACAGTCTTTTTGAGATTGGCCATGCTACCTTTTTGGAACCAGCCTTCCAGGTAGACTGTTCTTCACAATAAACAAACAGATTGTCGCTCCTTGCTCCCCCATCCAGCCTTCCCAACTACTTTGCAAATTTTACTTTTTGAGAGTACAAAAGAAAGTGATTAATTAATCAAATCATGACTTCACTGCTGCTTCACTAGCAATATTCCAGTTTCTAGAAAGGTATCGACAGAAACAAGTTATAAATAAATTTAAAAAGGATGAAAGGAGAAATTAAAACATTATTATGTGTACGCAGCTCTTTTTCTCCCGATGTAAAAGGCATGTTATTTATTTAACTATTTGTCATGTTGCAAAAAAATGAAACTTGAAAAAAAAGGATAAATTTTTCAGTATATTCTACTAGTTTTGCAATAGATCAAGGAGGACATTTTCCCTCTCTCCTGTAATGCTCTTTCTTTGAACTCCACCACCCCAGCCCAGATGCTTGCATTTATGTTTTCCTTGTCAAGCATATGGAATTATTAAGAAGAATGAAAACATTTACTTTTTGTGCTTCCTTTTGATTTAATATTGTGCTTTATTTCCTTATGCCTGCTGTCATTATTTGTTCTTGTCCTTATCATTTGAACTCATAAAGACATTAGCAACAAATTTCTTTATAAAAAGACAGTATAGAAAAGCTTGAAAATAGACATTTACCAATAAGTATATGAAATGTTGTTTCAATAAGTGTAGAGTTTACCAGAACTCCACCAAGCTTCATAAGATCACTGTAGTAAATATCATTTGGCCATTTTACTCGCAGATCAATATCCTAAGGAAATAAAAACGTACATTTAGAAACACTTTGCTCTTCGATACTGATTATAAGAACGTGGCTCATTCATCACTCCATATTCTATACTTTCTGTACCTCTTTGCCACACCAAATGTGATACTGTCAACTGCTCTTCATAATGAGAACCTACTTAAGTGCTCCACAAATGTTACTGAAGAAGCCATAGTAACACGGTTATATGGTTTACTAAAGAAGTTGGCAGCTGTCAGAGAAAAATAAATAAATTAAAAAAAACCCCAAAACCAGCAGATAATAAAGGTTTAGAGCGACCAAAAGGGGGACTAAAGATACTATAGATTTTCAGTCTCAAAATTGTGAGGTTTTGTAGAATTAATTTCCTTCATTCAAGAGTGCCTACTAAAGATTTAAAAGATCTATTCAAGAAAGATGCAAACTGTTGCAGCCGCTGTGGCTTACTGCTGATAAACAATCAGGGTAAGCCCACAATAATATCAACACTGTATTTGGGGATCCTTGCAGAAATCAGACAAGGAGACAACGACATCTTGAATTTCAGAAAGGAAATTTAGCAGACAGGAGAAATTCCAGTTCACAACTATGTAAATACTTCAATAATGCCCTAAATATATTCACACTTTCGGCGCTACGCTCAAGCAACACCATGGAGCTGGAAACACAAACTGTGCTGTGTGACACCGTTCCAGCGCAATAGAGAAGTTTTTGTTGAAACCACAGAACTGAACTGAACTTTGCACCGGCTACTTAAACACAAAAAGAAAGCAAATGTGCTTCCTGTAGTTTGAAAAACTGCATATGACTGTATCCCCAGAGGCAAATTATGGGAGGTGCTTCAGGACTACAAGAGTCGCATTCCCTCCTATTGTAGATTATGAAATCCCTTTACAGGATGTGTGAAAACTGCACCTGGGTCCATGTCTACTTTCCTGACAGATTTAAAGGCCAGAGAGGAGTCCATGACACGTACCTTGACAGGAAATACTACCTGATTTTGCTATCAAAGCATTCTAAGAGAGAGTATCACCAATTCATATTCATTATGGAAAACAACTTAACTCTTCGCACTGGGAAAGGATTTATAGAAGACTCTTGAGACATTCGAAGTATGAGACAGTTAAACAGTATTATCAGTGTTAAGAGATCTTCCGAAGAGCTATTCAGTAGAGCGGACTTAAGGAAAATATATACCTGTAAGACACCAGACACTTCTGCAACTGAAGTGACAGCAAGTATGAAGAACAACCAAGTCAACTGGGTATTCTCATGATGAAAACTATACAGCAGAGACTTTGCCACAAAATGGAGTGACGAGGTACTGCACAACTATCTGCTTGTCAAAGAAATGATGGGCATCACAAAATACGCTGGGAATGGAGCACCTTCTTATCTTCACTTACTAGAGATGTCTGCTGTTCTCAGAATGGGAAAGCAAAGCACCCTTTTGATATAAGGCCCATTTACATTTGCAGCACTAACACCTGACAGTAAAACTTTCAATCGAGCGGTCAGATTTTCTCCGTGAGGACCCAGAACAAAGGCCTCAGTCACTGCCAGTTTAGCATAGTCAGCATTTGTGGCAATCCTAAAAATCATGTCTGGCTGATAAACTGAGAGACAGGTATTTCAGATTTTTGAATGGAAATCCTTAAATGGACTCTGAGCATAGCGAACAACATTAAAGTGTGTTAAAGGATTATTAAGATTCTGACATACACCCACAGCGGTATGGAAATTTGGAGGAGAGAATGAAACCTCACCTATAGATTAGCCCGCTGTTAGCAGTTACTGCAGTTTGTATGGCACTGATGTCCATCTGACATAAAGAAAAGCCCTGCGTCACCTAAGTCTAAAGGGGAAATTTCTGATAAATCTTTGAATTTCCTTGCTTTAACATATTTGAGTCCAGACCCTTAACATTTGTTTCACCCATTGTCTAGGGTGGATATACTGCCAAAGAGATTCAGTAGCTTTGTCTTGGTCATAGCAAGCTATGTATTATTGATACATACTATCTTTATATTAGTATTTAGTAATTCAGTCACCTTTTTCCTCTTGAATGGAATAAAATAAAAAATGCCACAGTACACCAGGGTAGGCATACAGAAGCAAAACTACCTCTATTCATAAATTAACTCCTTCCCCAGTCAGACTCACATTTTATAAAACTAACTCCTTCTATTTTAAATGGTTAAATTATTCACTCAACCCAAATATTTTATATTGCAAATTTTAGCCTGAAGCATTTTGTTTTTATAGTCACGTTATGAAGCACTGAAGTTAGAAGGTTTTAATAGAAAGGCTGACAGACCCTAAACTACAGCAAAGCTACTGGGTGCCACTATAATAAAGTTCATGTGTAAATGTGTATAAGTCATTGATTTTCTGTAATATAGGAAACATATGCTTTAGTTAACTACTTCTGTAAAATACCAAAGTTTTATAGTTAGCAAATATTAGGAAATGGTAACATTAAAAAGGAGATATATGAGGTGATGAAGAAGACTGGTTCTTCATTTTAATACTGATGACAGGACACTTGATTCCCTCTTGAGAGCAATACTCCTAAGTTCTTGCTTTAGAAATCAGTTTTCAACCTTAAACAAGGGTTGGAAAAATCCTTTAAAAGGGATAAAGTGGCCACTGAAACAGCACCAACAAAAAAAGCAGAAAAGGATTCGTCAGTTTTATTCATTTTTCCCTCCTCCCTCTTCCCCAACTGCTTCAAAATCAAAACAAATTAACTCAATTGTTAGACAAACAAAATTGACGTTTTCTTTACTGCTGAAGACTGAGTCTTAAGTTTCATAAGATTATGAGTGAAATGAATGCAGTATACTTAATCATCTCAATAAAAGACAGTATTCATCATATGTATACTAGATTTCTTAAAACACATAAATAATCAAGCATGTATGAAGACTAAGTTTACCACTATACTAGTGCTGAAGAACTATACTATGCATTCAGTCATTCTATGCATAGGAGACGTAGTTAAAATCTGAATTTAATGAAAATGGAAACAGGAATTTTGAGATAAATTAGAATGAGATACCTCATATCCTGGTATTGATCTAACTGACTCTACCACTGCCAAGGACACCAGGTGTTGAATAAAAGGAATTCTCTGGCCCAGGTTGGAATGTAGAGGAATGGTGATATGTAAAGTGGATAGTGCACAGCCCACGGGACTGAGCCAAACATTTCCACCACGACCTGGGGAGGGAGAGAAAATAGGTTAACTTCAACTCAAGAAAAAAATATTTATAAAAAACATCACTTTGTTAATGTAGACAACTACAAAAGAGAAAGATTCAGAAGTATCCATCCAAGAATCTACCATAAGTCCTGTAATGGAGTTTCCAAACTGATTTTGAAAGAAAAACGGTTAAACTGCAAAGCTTTTTCTTTAAAAAAACAGCAGGTTGTTTAATGTGCATGCTGCTATTCAATTTCCTAGAATGTCCTAAATGACTTACTTCCAGGATTTTCACAGTACCTGGTAACACACACACACACTTCAAAAAATCTTGCTTTGTTTAAGTGAAGAAGTATTTGTGAAGATGCTCTGTGTGCATCGAGAAATCCACCCACATTGTGAATCAACTTGACACAAGCTAGATGTGTACTGAAAGCCAGGTAACCATCTTCATGTAGAGCTGTGCTCAGAAGAGCTTATTAGGCTGGACACTGTGTTCTTCTAATAAAATGAATGTGGCTTTTAAATCAGTGCTAGCTCCTTCCTGGGAAAGAGACAGAACCTGCTCATATTTATCCGCAAAAGATTGTGAAAGCCCACATGACAGTTCAAGCAGGTCCTGCAGACTCAAGAAATCTCTATCTCAGAGCAAGTCAAGACCCAGTCTTGTTCCAGTTAAGTCAAAAACTAGTTCTGATTTGGAAGTCTAACTTGTATTACACTAAATGTAGTGATGGCAGTTTCCATGACTGGAGAGACTTTTTGGCAGAAACTAGAAGACCACTAAATCATTTCTGCAAAAGCCACCAAACATCCTGAAAATGTTTACTTTGGTCTCTATCAACTTAGGTTTTGAGTTTGAATCCACAGTTCAAGCGGGAGGAGAAGAGGACACAATTATTCTATAGATTATACTATCAAAAATACTCATAATGTATCCATAAGGCAGTTATGTGACATCAAAAATGTCCTATTTCATATGTTTAATACACATTTACTAGCACTAGAAGGAAATTTACTCACCTTTCCCTTGTGTTTGTCGAACAGCAATTGCTATTAAACCCATCTCCTCAGGCAACTCAAACATTAACCTGCCAATTAGGAAGAAAAAAACCCCCATGCTTATCAGCTGGAACACTAAGCTACATTCATGAAAGTCTAGGCTTAAATATCAGGTAATATTTTACATTAACATTGCACTACCATTTATCCGTTTTCAGTTAACATTTATTCTTGACCAAAAAGCATTAGAATATTAAAAAAAGATTAACTGAAAAATGATCATGTAAAACATTACTATATCTATTACGCTGGAAAAAGTTATAGCCATAGTTCATTTAAGGTGCCTTCTGATAACATACGTTTTGTATTTCTTCACGTTTTCTTGAAGTGCTTATTTTTTGCGTGTCGCTATCTTCAGTAAGTGACAACTAGCAATTCTAGACATTTGTTTCTACTTACAGCAAATTTTTGTTCATACTACAGAATATAAGAGCAGCAGTTTCTGATTATTTAGAAAACCAATATGGTGGCAATAAAGCAGTTTAAAAGATACACTATCCCCTGAGAACTAATTATGATTTAACTACAGTAAATAAATCTACACCTTCTGAGAACTCTAGAGAACACTGGTTTATTTTAGGCTTGTGTTCTGCTTTTAAAATAGTTTCACTTAAAAGAATACTAACTTTCCTCTGGGGATAGGGAGAAAGTGCACTTTAACACCACCAAATGAGTCAACGCTAGACTTAAAAAAAAGAAGAAAAAACCCTACTGTGAGAACTTCGTTCAAGCCACTTTAAAACAGATCTGAACTGTACTACGATCCTCCTCCATTTCACATTTTCAGGAAGTGTTATTTAACAGATAAAACAGATATTCAAGATGTCGCCAGCAAGGTAAACCCAGAAGGTGATTTATAGCCTACAAACCTACTTCTAATATGAGCACAAATATCATGTTGTTCATTCATATAAAAGCGATCTTGTCTTGGAGATAAGTGCAGTCCAAATCAGCAAAGAGTACCGTTCAAAATTATTTCCTCTGAATTTCAGATACATATGAAAGGTGTTTCAAGTTCTGCAATCAAGCAAGTATCACTGGGCAGCAGATACCAGCTGCAAGCAGAAGTGTCTCCCCGTCGCTCACAGACACGCATCTTTAGGCAGGCGACAAGCGAAGGAACTATCCATCCCTCCTGCTTCACAGGTTGAAAAGCAAGGCGTCAGCAACTCTTGGGGCTGTATTGGTAGCAAAATGCAAGTAGGATCCCCAAGGTTTCAGAATATCTTTCAAATGGCTGACTTGCTTTCATGATGATCAAAATGGGAGGTTATTGGAGGGCCCAAGCAATGTCTGGACCACAAATGCCTTCACTAATTAGAAATACTTGAACCCAAACTGACAGAAGCCGTAACAGGCTCCACAATGTTTTCCCACATTACTCCTGAAACAGTGAGATATTGTCAAAGAGCAATAGCCAGAAGATCTCTTTGCCAGTCCCCTTCCAGTTCACGTGAAATACAGCTTGATAATTCTTTCCTTTGGACCCTATGGATTACACACTGAGACCAGGCTCACCTATCTACCACCAACCTTTAACACTAAAAATACACCTCTTCTTATGCTGGGACCTAGGGGAAAATCCTCTGTAGCTCTTCACGCCCATGAGGCTTCAGCGCTGCCTTCTGGGAACAGCGCGATTTCAGTTACAACATCAAGTTCATGGTTTTGCAACATGAAAATCTAATTTAGGTTTGGAAGCACAGTTAGGAAGAGATTACAGGCTTTGTCGAAATACACTGATTTCTGTTACTTCTCCATTTACATATTTGTTTTTAAATAGGAAAAAAAAAAAGTCATGTGCTGCCATGATGGGAGGAAAATAATCAGAGCCACAATGGGAGGAAAATAATCAGAGCAGGAAAAAAAGTTAATTATGAATCCAAAACACAGGCTTCTAGAACAAAGAGATATGATTAACAGAACCTATGAATGTAGCTATTAGAGGCTTGGCAGCAGGTAACAACATATTAAATACAGAGACCGAGTTTGTACTTTCAAGGGCCACAAAGAAATTCTTTAACGGACACAACATGGGGAAGTTGTTAATACCCAGACCGATACAGCAAGAGACAGATAGATTTATTTTTACTACTTCCTGAGATTGTGCTGGAATTACCATGAAGCCTATGATAATAAAAATCCCCACACAGCCGCCCCCCCAAACTTCAGAGCTTTGTAAATTGTGTGTGCTTGTTAGTTTTTTTCTGGGAGAAACAACTTGGATTTTCCTCACCAGAAAGAGTAACCGTACGTGCACTTTTTTACATATTGACTTCCCTTCTTTTCTTTCAACTTAATCGGTTGCAGATTTAACAATTTCATTTTTCTTCAGAGCAACTTAATCACAGTGCTCACCACATCTTCCCCCCAAAATTTTGGCTTCAAGAAATTCTCTGTTCTTTTTCGTGCTCTTTAACTAACTTACTCTACATATTAAGTCAAAAGACCACACCGAGATACAAGAGTAGGGAAACATGAAACGTCTGAAGACAAATTTACCCATCAGGAAGAATATGAGACGGCACCTATATGACCACAGAAGATGATACTACAATTTTATGTAGATTTTTCTTCTCTGCTTTGAACATTTTTGTGGTATTTTCCAAAATGTGAGCAAGGCACTTCTAGTATTCAAGAATATTAAACTAGCTGAAATATTAAGAGAGAGATTCTAGCACAATTTTTTATACAAATACCCTCCCCCCACCGTGTAGTGCATACTATGAATGCTGTCAAGAGTAATAAACAACACTTAATTGTTTTATAGAAATTTCAAGTCTAAGGAGGACTCTGTCTTCATGGCTAGTCAACACAATGACTTTTCTTCCTACATGAACGTAAAATGGGAATTGAAACCACAAAAACTATGTTTGAATAATGTTAACGGCCTGACAACTATAAATTTCATTGATGTTGTGGGTTTAAGGTTGAAACTCTCATTAATGCATCCTGCTGTGTTACAGTATTGCAGAGGTATTACAACAGGCAGCATTACATTCCAGATGTTGAAATACCTGGGCACAGGAGGGTAAGTTATGAACAGATTTCTCCCTTCACTTCAAGTTCCTTGTCTGAAAACCTCACTCTCAGATAGCTTGTTCATAGAAGATTATAAAAGCAACATAAAAAATACCTTTCCTTTTTTAGTCAAATGGAAAGGAACATGCTTTCTGACCAGTTTCTTCTATTATTTTGGATAAAAAGGTGCCCGGAACACTTGCTTTACTACTTTATATCCACTGTTTCTGTCCATTATGTCCAATCTGAAAATGAGCAATGTGCCTACTAATATTTTTCCTAAACTGTCCTCCATTGCCCTCCATCTCCTTTTCATAGCCCTCAGTTGCATGATGATGTGTCTGATTCCAAGCTCTGTGTGCTGACTGGCCTGCCACAAGGCGTCCTGGCCAAGCAGAATAGGTAACTCTCGAGTCCACGCTGCAGACTCCTTGGTGGCAGCACTGATCTGGGTCTCTCTCTCCCCTACCTGGAAGCCTATTTTCATGAGACCATGAATACCTGAAGGAGCTCAAAGATATGGAGGTCTTCTGTAAAACAGGCAGCAGACTGACTGAGAGCTGGTGGGCCACGATCAGAGGAGAAGCCACCAAGAATGACATCACAGTGGGAGTCTGTTACAGACCACCTAATCAGAAGGAGGAAGTGGAAAAAGTCTTTTTGAGCAACTTGAAGACATTTTCAGATCACAGATCCTGATTCCTATGGAAGACTCCCATCTCCCGATATCTGCTAAAAGGCAAACAAAGTGGGATGCAAGCAATCCAGCTGACTTGTGGGGGATGCTATGACAAGCTCTTAACACAAATATCAGACGATCAACTGGAGCGATCGACTTGATCCGCTACAAACAAGGGAGAGGTGATTGGGGAAGTGGTAATCCGTGGCAGCTTTGGCCGTAGCAACCATGAACCAACTCTGTTCAGGATCCTGAGAGGAATGAGGAAGGCAAGTAACAGAGTACAAACCCTGGATTTCATGAGAGCTGAATTCAATTTATTCGGGGACCTGATAGATGGGATCTTATGAGAGGCAGCTCTGAAGGGCAAGAGAGCTCAACAGACCTCGTCTTTAAAGACAACTTCCCACAAACAAAATAACGGTCCACCACAATACTGAGGAAAATCAGTAGATGAACAAGGAGTCTGGTTTGCCTAAAAAGGGAATTAATGGCTGTAAAAAGAACGTACAAAAGAGATGGAAGCAAGGAGAAATGCTACAAAGGAGAAATGCAGAAACATCGTCCAGACAAGCAAGGATGGTGTTAGGAAAGCTGAAGCTCAACTATAGTAGAGATTGGCAAGAAACATAGCAACAGGAACTTCTACTGCTACATGATAAGAATAAACAAGGAAAATGTGGGCTCACAGCTGCCTGAGGCAAAAGCACAGCAGACACACATAAGGCTGAGTTACTTAATGCATTCTTCGCCCTGGCCTTCACCAACAAGGTCTCCCAGGCCTTTATACATACAGACAGGTTTCAAGGAGAAAAGGAAACACCAGAAGTAGAAAAGGATTGATCTCATAAATCTCTTGAGAAATCTTGACTCATACAAGTCCATGAGAGCAGACGTGATGCATCTAAGAGTGCTGAGAGAGCTGGCTGATGGCACATCAAGGCTGTTTTCTATCATCATGGTCACGGAGATCAGGGGAAGTCCCAGATGAATGGAGAAGGGCAAATGTTGCAGCCATCTTCAAGATGGTCTTTCACAGCATCCTTGTATCCAAGTTTGGCTATTGTGGTCTAGATGGATGCACTACCAGATGAGCAAAAAGTGTCTGCATTCTGGGATTGAAAAGTAATGGTTTGTACTCTACCTGTAGGCTGGATACAACTGCAGTTCCTCAGGGGTTTATCCTGAGACCTATCCCGTTTAGTATCTTAATATCTTTACCAATGACCTGTAGGAGGAAATGGCATGCACATCAATCAAGTCTGTGAATAACATTGAACTATGAGGATAACTAAGCATTGGAATAGGATGCCCAGAGAGGCTGTGGAGTATTTCTGCTCTGAGAGGTTTTCAAGATC